GAGCTCCTCCACATTACTCGCTCAATGTGCGCAATTACCTAAATGAGACGTTTCCAGGACGCTGGATAGGACGAAGAGGTGCAATTGAGTGGCCCCCTCGGTCACCCGACTTAAATCCTTTAGATTTCTTTCTCTGGGGGCACATTAAAAGCAAAGTTTACAGCACTCCACCTGATACCTTGGAAGATCTGCGAGGACGAATCATTAATGTATGTCGCGAAGTAACACCGCAAGTGCTCCAGAATGTTCGACAACGGTTTGAAGACAACCTGTATCATTGTATGCAAGTTGGCGGACAACATTTTCAGCATTTACTTGACTAATACCGTAAGTTTTGAAGTAAAATTAAATCGATTTTCGCATTTCTCGTCAAAAATATTGTTCGTATTTTCAAAGCTGCATATTTTCTAAAATAATGAATCGATTTTCAAAAAGTAAGAATCGATGTATAGAGAATTAAAAGCCCTTTCTAATAACCCCCCACTTGACCCCCATTCCCATTTGAAAAAATTTAGGGGATAGCACCCCCACTTAGGGGGTTGAAGATTTTGGTATGCTTTTTGAGCCAAAAGTTGTCCCGCTCAGAAACAAATTTGACCTGTTTTTGGATTTTGCCGAAAAGTTCTTTACTACCCTGTAATGCCTTGCGGTACGTTTTCGATGGACTACCCTGTATATTAAATATACATATATCATATTAAAATACCATATAAAAATTACTTAACTGAAATATAAAAATTATAAATATATCCTACAAATAATATTGCGGCAATAAAAATCGAATTTTTAATTGTGGTGCATCTAAAATGTCATAAAAATGTAAATTCTAATAACCAGGTAGGAAGGTACACAGTGTTAATAAAATATGTTATAATTACCTAGGACAATGCACAAATAGACACGTGGGCTTTTGCTAATAAGCAGTTATAATAATTTCCTTAACATATAATTTCCTTTGTAAAACCTACGCGCAACGGTAACAACCATAAACACTGTAAATGTATCTACATACATAAGATATGATGGAGGTAAGTGAAATAAATTTTTTTATATATATACCAGAGACAATTTCGACCGAAATTTTAGAATATATTTTATTATGGTATAGCAAATTTTCAGTGGCTTAAATTTTAGATTAAATGGAGATTTTCAAAATTTGGAATTTTTAAATAAGAGCTATTTGACATTTTTAATTGCGATCGACAGTGCACAACTGTATTTTTGTATTGATATTAACATTTAGTGTAACCGTGTTGAAAGAAAATGTATGACATTTTTAAAGAGTTCACATGAACATATCCTAGATACAGTGTTTAAAATTCCTTTAAAAAGATTTGTTTATATCTTCTAAGTCGACGAAATCGATGCAAACTTGGTCGAGGTTTTTTTGGTCTTATTAAATCCAGGATCTTATTAGTGGTACTGACTATCGTGGTATCTTTGTCAGAGGAGGCTTGAAATGAAAAACTTTAAACCGTCGGCGTCGCGTCGCTTTGTAGTCAAAAGGGCACATTTCCTTACCGCCTTTGAAGTAGTGCCATGGGCGTGCTACATTTTTTGAGTGGGTTGTTCGCTAGTACCCCTATTATTCCACGTAATTGACATAAAGTAAAATCTCTTATTTTGTATAAAACATTAAATAACACTCATTTTTTGTAAATTAGCAATGAGTACAAACACTAAAAGAAATTCGAATAAATATATGTATTAAAAATAAAAACAATTTTGGCAAATAAATTACATACGTATCACAAATTAAATATTTTTATACATGGTGATTCTGAATTTATCCAAAAAAAAATGGATGTACAGGAGACCCTTACAAATACAATTTTGTAAAGAAAAAATCAAAAAGGTCAATTCGAAATTGATTTAAAAATACACTTCTGCACGGCACTGGAAACTGGTCCACTGTAAAACCTGACCTCGCACAATGCGACCGGCATGGCGGCAAGTATGACAAAAATGTGAAAGAATTTCGCAAGGCAAGGAATAAATAGAATTTTATAGCACATATTTTATATTAGCAAATTCAACTGCTTTTGCCGTTATTGTTATTATTAATTAATAAAATTAATTTGTGTTTTTAAATAATAAAATAATTTGACATACCCGATGTGACAACTGTTCAAAATTTTATCCACCGACGTGTAAACACGTTTGGGTCCGTCTTACTCAGTTTCTACAAAGTAACACAAATGTTGTCTTGCTTCACCATAAATTAAAACGATATCCATTAACTCCGAGTTGCTATACACGCAAACCATTTTTGACACTAACTATTAAAAAACTATTATAAACAGCACAGATAGCAGGTAAACACTATCGCAAATACGATTATAAAATCGGATTTCAGTATTCGGAGTCGCTGAGGTCACGTGGCTCTCCATGCGTATTGCGAATGACGCTAGAGACTACAGTTGTTCAGCTATGTAATGGTTGAATGTACTACAACTTCAATAATTTCTTTCTCGGAAACTATAAGGATTTTAGAAAAAAATGTTTGAATCCACTTCTCATGCCGCATCTATTCCCAAATTTTTTTGGATAAGTTGTGAATCACCCTGTATAACAATGGCAATCTGCCATTTTCTGATCCCGCAAAATGATCAATAACTTCGACATAAAATGAATTATTTTCTTTCAGTTGTGACAAATACTGTTGTTCTATGGAAATAACATGTATTTGAGAGACGATCTTAAGCTATCGTATTTCTAGCAAAAGTCTTTATGAAAATGACCGTTCTGCAGAAGCTGATGTTACGGGAATTATTGACACTAAAGATAAAAGTTTATATGTCTCAGGTAGACAAGTTATTAATCTATTATTCCAAGTAAAACTTAGCATTCTTGAGGCGATGTTGAACTACTTAAAAGTTGTTGGTCGGAGTACAATACACAAAGTTCATTCCGTAATAACACGCTATCAAATATCGGATATTGTTTTATTAAACTGTCCATGAAGTCATTCGGAAATAATTTGGAGGACAAGGTAAAAAATTATCCGAATTTACTAAACCGAAGCACTGCAAACTATCATCAAATCATTGTAAAGGTCTTCAAGAGAAAAATGAAATTTTTGACCAACAACAATTGTTTTAATCCATAAGCGGGTCCTAAAATTTGTTGGTTATTTAAAAAATCCTCACTATCCGATATGAAATCAAAAACCTCAATAAGTTTACTTAGAATCATGTGTTGCATTATTTTATTTAATACGTCAAATCTTTTAGTATATTTGGAAAAAAATGAGGAAAATCCGAAAAGATTTGAAAAAAATCCTCAGTTTTTTAATGCCTTTGCAAGCTTTACGCGATGAAATATTTTCTTGCGATTTTTCGTGTCTTCGTTAAATTTTTTAAATTGTTAAAACCGACCCCGCCCCAAACCGATAAATTACACAGCCACACAAAAAAAAGTGTCTGTACTATTCATGCGACATATGTTATTCGTAGTACTTTAGCCTCCTGATCACGAATCCGGTGTCAGAATTGAGCTATCACATCACAGGAATTTCCTAACCTCAAAAAACGGGTCAAAAATAGTAAAAATTCACGAAAAAGTGCTAGGAAAAGTACAAAAAAATTTTTTTTCTATATTAAAATGTTCATTTATATGGTTAGTAAGACCCCGCCGAACGTGAATCCGAGACCATAATCGATGGTTCTTTTTCTAACCTAAAAAATGGGTCAATTAAAGTCAGATATCATGAATTTTCAAAAAATAACAGATTCGCTCCAAATTTGGTATACAGGAGTATACGGGGTCGCTGATCACGAATCCGAGGTCAATTTTGCAAAATTCAAAATGGCGGATCCAAGATGGCCGACCAAATTTTCAAAACATAACAAATTTGGTACCTATACGGAGGTTTTCGGGGTCACTGATCACGAATCCCAGATCAGATTTACAAAATTCGTTTTTAAAAATTTATTCAATTACTTATGTACTTTAAGAAGGTTAAAACATGATTGGGTACTCAGGTTATAAAATAAACAAAAATATTACAAAATGAATTTCGCAATACTCGAACTCGTAATCAGCGACATCGAAAACTCCCGTATACCAAATTTGACGCGAATGTGTTCATTTTTTTAAAATTTGGATCCGCCATCGTGAATTTTGCAAAATTGACCTCGGATTCGTGATCAGCGACCCGTAACCCCCGTGTATCAAATTTGGCACGAATGTTATTTTTTGAAAATTTGTTCGGCCATTTTTGATCCGCCATCTTAAATTTTACAAAATTGACCTCGGATCCGTGATCAGCGACCCCGAAAACCTACCAAATTGGGCGCGAATCTGTTATTTTTTAAAAATTCATAATATCTGATATTAATTGACTTGTTTTTTTACAATACAGAAAAAAATTTGTTGTGTTTTTCATAGCGCCTTTTCGTACATTTTTGCTATTTTTGACCTGTTTTCTGAGGTTAGGAAATTCCTGTGATGAGATAGCTCAATTCTGACATCAGATTCTTCATCAGGAGGCAAAAATACTATGGATAACATATCATCCCCATTTTCACGTAGAGGCGTATGTGTATATCCATTTCTTAGATTATACGCCCTACGTGATAAGAGGGACGATATGTCACCTGAAAACTACAGTAAACTTTTTTTTGCGTGTGGTTGTGTAATCGACCGTTTTCATACATATCAGCGACATTGCTATATATTCATAATATAGGTAAACATTCTATTCACTTTTTCTAATTCCCAACGATTCTTGAAATATCGGGGTTTGAAGTTCATCATTTGTATAGTTGCTAAAGAATAAATTGCCTTGCTGCGACTAGAGGGCTAAGTAATTTAATAATTAGCAGCTCGGCTGGGATTAGAAAAAAACTGTTGATTGTCAGTTCGTTAGTTGTCATCATTGACAGCATTCTTTTTTATTTTTTGCGTTAAAATCATGACTTTAATTTATTTAAATGTAAAATACTCGGACATGGATATTGCAAGAGTAGTACCAACGACGATATCCAAACCGCCGTCATCCAGACAAGCAGACGTTCAATAGAACCGTTACAACTCTTCGATTAACAGGTGCGTTCCCTAAATCGACACGTGAAAGAGAAGTTATGCGAAGATACAATGTCGCAGAAGTGCTTGAGCTTGTCGAAAATGATCCTGGTACTAGACGAGCAAAATTTTTGTACTTACTTGACAAAGTAGGACCACTGTTGCAAGACGCTTTGCGAGAATACCGACTGCATCCCTATCATTACCAACACGTACAAGAACTTCTCCCCACGGATATTCTCCAAAAAGTTAATCTTTGTGAATGGTGGAGCAATCATTTGGATACCCTTTCAAGAACCCTCTTCTGTTACGAAGTTACATTTACAAGAGATGGAATCAACAATTTCCGCAACGATCATGTGTGGGCAATCGAAAACCCTCATGCTATTCAAGAAACCCATTTTCAGAGAAGATTCTCCGTAAACGTTTGGGCTGGAATAATTAATATAATGAACGCATCGGACCACATTAGGCGGAAATTCGAATAGCGAGATGTACCGACCTTTTTTGGATAACGATCTACCTCTACTACTTCAGGACATTTCTCTTCAAATCAGAAGGTCGATGTTCGTTTTACATGATGGTGCGCCGTACCATTATGGAAGAGGTGGCACTAATTTCCTCAATGAAAAATATTCAAATTGATGTATAGGTCCCATTGCTTGGCCACCACGATCTCCGGATCCCAACCCGTTGGAATTTTTTATGTGGGGTCATGTGAAGATACGTACTCAATGGGTATTCATGCAGCGTTTGAGGACTCACATTGAACAGCTTTAATAATTACACTGTTATTGCGCTTTTATTCAAATAGACCACATTTTTACCAACAACGTAATTTATTCTTTATCAACTACCTATACGACCTGACAACTTCAAACCTCGATATTTCAAGAACCATTGGGAGTTGCTTAAAATTAGTCATATAATTAATATACAAAGTCTCTCGCATACCCGGGCAGCCAACCTGTATTTGAGACAAATTTTTGGAAAAACTAAGAAATAAATAATACCCTGTTCAATCTTCACCAGTTTTAAATAAGAGTCCATTCTTCTTCTGTTGAAGAGACCTACAGACTGTAAATTCCTTTTAGACCTTCAACACGATGGATTTCATCAGAGCCGAGAAACTATATCTGACCCTCACAGGCTTCTACCCCGCTGAGCCAGGTCTTCGCAGATATCTCTTCATACTGAGTGCTCTCGTTAACCTGTCCATATCCTTGTTGCAATTCCTGTCTCTTATCACTTTTGCTTACTTCAATTTAAATGACCTGAGGAAAGTCACCGATATCCTTGTATTCTGCGTGACACAGTTCGCGTTTCTCAACAAGCTGACGAATCTGATCTGGCACCAAAGCAGTTTGAAGGAGCTGGAGGCGTTGCTGCAAAAACCAGTTTTTACCAGCGTTAGAAGTGAAGAAAAACACATTAAAACAAGTCATCTGCAAGGCGGGAAATTACTAGGTAAAATGTACAGAGGGATGTGTTTCCTGGGCGTTGTACTCTACACTTTGTTTCCGTTACTGGACAAGAGATCCGACAAAGAGCCTAAATTCCCTTTGCCCGGCTGGTTTCCTTTCAATGAAGTCGACTACTACTACCCAGTGTTCTTCTTTGAAATTTTGAGCATTGCTATCTTATCTGTTATTAATTCTAGCATCGACCTATTGACTATCATGACGATGATACTGGCTACTGCCGAGTTTAAAATTTTGAACAGGAAACTGACCAATATTTCAACGTCTTCGGGAGCAGATGGGGACTATGACGATGATGACGAAGTAAGGAGTAGGATGGGAGAATGTATCATTCACTACGACGAAGCACTCAAGTGAGTAGATGCAAATTTTGTTTTAATTTTATTTTCCGAAAAATATTTTTGTTTGCAGTTTGGTGAAACACATTGAACTCACGTTTTCAAAGGGCATTTTCGTGCAGTTCTTCTGCAGCGTTATGGCGATCTGCTTTACAGGGTTTCAGATAATAGTGGTATGTACAACTATTTACTAGTAATAATACGGTGCTTTCTTGTGAGGTAATCGTAAAGGGACTTTTCATGCGGAGTACCCTTATATACAGAGAGATCGAGAATGATTGACCGGATTCTGAACGTACCCTGTCTCAATTGCTATCAAAACTAATTTCTGTTTACTAAAATTACTTTTTTTTCCGTGCGATTTCATGGTGTTCTGTGGCGACATCGATCTTATAGTACTAGATACTGCATAGGCCCAATTTGTTTTGTTCAAGGGAGGTATCTTAACACACGATTGAAGAACTAGTTCAGTGCGAACAGCCGAGCCGAGCGGACGTGCTTGTTTGTGAGGTGAAGTGATTGCAACGAGCAAAATCTACCTGCCTTTATTAAGGCTACCTGGAAAGAATCCCTTTCTTTCCTTTTAATCACCGACCTAATCCCCGGCTAAGCATAGAGGCCGTCGGCATCTTTGTTCAGGTACCTGTCCCGGGGTTATGCCCAGGTAAGTTTTAACTTATTTATCAGTTATTTGCATTACTTTAAAATACATTTCTTTAAAATTGCGACCCCCGACAAACAATATACCAGACAGACAAATACACCAAAAGACACGTACGCCCCCGTAAGGGGGCATCCCCACACGACTAACACTTACACACCCACCCACCCACACACACACGAACACACACNAACAACAACAACAACAACAACAACAACAACAACAACAACAACAACAACAACAACAACAACAACAACAACAACAACAACAACAACAACAACAACAACAACAACAACAACAACAACAACAACAACAACAACAACAACAACAACAACAACAACAACAACAACAACAACAACAACAACAACAACAACAACAACAACAACAACAACAACAACAACAACAACAACAACAACAACAACAACAACAACAACAACAACAACAACAACAACAACAACAACAACAACAACAACAACAACAACAACAACAACAACAACAACAACAACAACAACAACAACAACAACAACAACAACAACAACAACAACAACAACAACAACAACAACAACAACAACAACAACAACAACAACAACAACAACAACAACAACAACAACAACAACAACAACAACAACAACAACAACAACAACAACAACAACAACAACAACAACAACAACAACAACAACAACAACAACAACAACAACAACAACAACAACAACAACAACAACAACAACAACAACAACAACAACAACAACAACAACAACAACAACAACAACAACAACAACAACAACAACAACAACAACAACAACAACAACAACAACAACAACAACAACAACAACAACAACAACAACAACAACAACAACAACAACAACAACAACAACAACAACAGCAACAACAGCAACAACAACAACAACAACAACAACAACAACAACAGCAGCAACAACAGCAACAATAACAACAACAACAACAACAACAACAACAACAACAACAACAACAACAACAACAACATTTATTGGTCCATATCAGTATTGCTTAATTTGTGAAATAACTGATTTTTGTTAAATAATTGATGTTTTTATTATGAATTTCAATTTTGACAGTAACCTAATTTATTTGACGTTTGAACGTAATTATTTGTTTACCATTAAAATCCCTCAACGTGCGCTCATGATTCTAGTATTGGTATCAAAAACTGGTATGCCGCACATCAAAAATCAGTATGAGGCGGCACGGTCAATCATTCTCGATCACCCTGTATAATACAGCAATAGCAAATAAATAAGTAAATTATCTGTTGTGACTCCATTACCAATATTTCCATTACAGATACCGTTCAGAAGTATACGATTCGTACTGCTGGTGGCCTACCTTTTGGTCATGATGTGGCAGGTGGCCATGTACTGCTGGTACGGTCACAATGTGATGGACAGCGTAATTAAAATCTAGTGGTCGGGTAAATCGAAGAACTAACGTTCAATTGTTGCAGAGCGATCAGGTGACCAGCGCCTGTTACAAGACCAGGTGGGATAAATGCAGCGTAGAAGTCAGGAAATCTTTGATGATTGTGATGGAGAGGGCCAAAAAACTGGCCACCATAAGAGCGGGAAATTTCTTCACGCTAAATATACCCACTTTGATGACGGTAATAATTATTAATATGATTTTATAGGCGTTTGTACGTGATATAAATTATTAATGTCACTAGATTGAACAAGTACCGCAACCGATTGCTCTTGTTTGCCCCAAAATGGCGGTTTGACATATGCCAATTTGTGACATTTAAATAAAAAAATAACGTTCAAACCTAATTGTTATAGCATTAAAAATATACTATGTTGCTGCCTAGAAATCTCTTCAAGTTATGCGAAAAATAGTTAGTTGCGCGGATACAAAAGGCTTTGAAAATTCAATTTTGTGCTTCAAGACCAGCAAAAGTGATTTTATGAAATGACAGTTGAATGCGGTACTTTATAAAAATCTAGGGACCTTATAGATTATGTGTCGATTCTGCACACAATTCTAAGTAAATCTGTAATTGTTACCGCGCATGTGTCATATTATATCGATATTGTTTCCCCTTGTGGTCACTAGTCAGTTGGTGACAGTCTGTCTAAGTATATCGATGTATGTGTGTGTGTGTGCAACACTTCGTTGCCCAATTGTTAATGTTTATGTTATGTTCTACTCACATATTTCATGTTGGAAAACGTAATATATGTGTTTTGAAAATATTGCGTATTTTATTGAATCAACAAAGGGAAAGAGAAGACCAGCAGCAGAAAAACAAAGAAACCAGTAATGCTCTCTAAACTTACAGATAATTTTCAATTCTGTGTTACGTATAGTTCACAAAAATCCTTATAAAATCGTCGTCAGAATCTTTTTGTGAGGTTAGGAAAAGACAAAATAGTTTCAAGAAATTTGAAAGCGAATATATTAATTTACGAAAAATGTATACAAACCTACCCCAACGAGCTTATAGATATAAGCTCCTTGACGTATAAGAACTCGGAACATGTACTGGAGGCTATTTTGTGACTTGAGAGAGACTATATACAATCAGTTGTTAAGTTCTATTTCACGTTGTATCTTACATCTTATTATCTCTTTGCTTAATAATTTTAAATGTAGGTAAATATATTTGTTGGCGGTAGGTGCTAATTGCCAATTGGTTTTTTTAATGTAATGAGATACCATCTTCCAATAACTCCGGCAAGCGGTTTTGCAAAAAAATCTAGATATGAAGCACCCTCTAAGAATCTAGGCTATTAGAAAGGTCATATTAATGTGTCATTATCGATACCAGCCCGCATGTTCACTGAAAACTGTTGCCGAAAGGCACCGCGACGTATTTCGTGTGGATTTTCGATAGTCCAGTGGTGAGTGTTGTGGACACTACGTACATCATTTAGACTGAAACATGCTTCATCTGTAACAAGTATTTGCGCTGTAAATTGGGGATTCCTTGCATGTTCGTGAAGCAACCATTCGCAAAAACCTCGACGTATTGGAAAATCCCCAGGAGTAAGCGCTCGAACACGTTGAATATGAAATGGGTACAACTGAGCTTCTCGTAATATCCGCCGCACAACAGGATGCGAAATATTTACTTGCTGTACGATATTTCTTGTGCTACGATGCGGATCTTGTTCGGCGAGATCTAAAACCATCTCCTCGACATTTAAGATTTTTAGAGGTCGCGACCTCAACGCGGTTGTACTTGACCGGTCTCCACAACTCTTTGCGCTACAGCAACAAATGTTCGCGGTGCGGGGGCACGTCATTCAGGATATCTTGCATGGTTGACAAGCTCTGTGAGCATTTTCGTTTGCTTCGCCATATAATATTCGCGATTGCTAAAAAAATGCGCCATTTTCAAAAGAAAACTTGGAAATACGGCTATTAATTGTACTCTCGAAAAACAGCACAGCAATCACTACAACAATGTATTAGAAACTGACTTTCGAATACAGTCCGGCTTCATAAGAAACCTACAAACTCGTAAAAAGTGTTACAGAATTTTTTTTTAAGTACTCGCCGAGATAAAATACATGTATTTTAGCAGTTCCAAAACAGTTTTAAACACATTTTTAATTAGCTTTTTTCTCTATGACCTTAAACTTCCGATGCAAGTTTAACATCAGTTTACTCGCATCAGTTTTTGCTCCTTTTTCACCCCTTTAAATTTTTGACATAAGTTCATTGACACTTACCATATGGTTTATATTTTTAAGACATCATAGATAAAAAAATCCTACACCTACCTACTTTATCTTTAATATATCTGATTTTTGTATTACAAAAAAAAACAATGTTTGTAATTATGTAAGTAATTTTTAAGTACCTATGTAAGTAAGTTGCAGTAGTTCATTTGCATCTCTGTAACTACGAGCGTCACAAGGATTCCAGAATTGCATAATTTACAATTCTGTAAAAATATTATTATTACTTACGGTATAAATTTACAGAGAAACGTAGAATCGACGCATTAGTTGCAAACGCCGTATTGATGACAGCTTTTTTTTTACAGATTCTCAGGTCGTCGTATTCTTATTTCGCACTGCTTCAAAGGGTATACGGAAACAACTGAAGATCACCGAAATACTAGAAAAGTACAAGTAGTTTAGTATTATCACCATTATTTTTTTTATTTTTCACTTCAAATTGTCTGTCATTCTTGATATTTGAAGAAGAGTAAAAATATGAAAATGCACACGAAATCATTGATACCTACATTAGATTCATTATATCCATAGGAGCTGTTGTGTTTTGTAATTAAAAATGTCTGTTGTTCACATTGATGTAAGAAGAAGACCTCTTTTGTTGTTCACCTAAATTTTATCCCTAGAAGTACCACATTCAACTGCTATTTTCGGGTAAAATCCCTATTGCCAATTTGAAATATAAGTTTGAATTAATTGTCACATATTTTAAACAATTCACTAGAGCACAAATGGATATACATATGAAGGTATGTCAGACCGTCATTTCAGGGCAAACAAGAACATTGTGGTACATCTAGGAACTTTAACATTTTGAATGTTTCAGCACCATCTAGACGAGGTGCTGTATAATGTGAATACAAAAAATAAAGCACATTAACCACACAAATTAGATAATGTACACAATACATTGCATTAAAAGCATAATGAAAAAAATAGTTGTTTTTTAATTTGTTTTATTAAAGCCTAAGCAAATAAAATATAAAACCAGAGGATGCTTGCAAATGCAGTAATATTAGTACAAAAACTTGAGTTGTATTAGACAATGGTACCTACTGCTACTTATACAATACGGATGTTCCGAATTTTAAATACGACTCCATAATAACCTTCTTTAGAATTAATTTATTTCTTATGGGGAAACAATTTTACTATCTTCCATAAATGCTTGAAGTTATTTAACTTTTACATGTTATCATTTTATGAAGGTAACTGTACCCCAGAACTTGTACGAAATAAACTGAGTACCTATAATTATCTCTGAACTTATATGTTACAGGCAATAATTAGCGTTAAATAGTTCAATTAATTATTAACATCTTAAGTTCCGGTGAAAGATGTGATTCTTTTCATTTTTAATTTAATAGAAAAGGGAAGATGCAGGTAAGTACATAGTAGGCAAATTATTATTTTTTAAACATCACTATTATTATTATATGTGAATCGGTATCGGTATGTCTTACACTTTGTGGATTAATGTACAGAACTTTTCAAAGTTAGTCTACATATAATTTTTTAATGGCGTATTATACGAAAAATAAGGAAACAAGTTCCTCCTAAGGGGTTACAGTACTTAAAGAGGTTGTGGATAAATATTGCCGCAACTGTTTGGTAAGGCGGATATTTCAATTGTTTTAGTAAAAAATCTTATAGATTGCATAGTTTTCAAAAAAAACTGATCTAGATATTTTGTTATACAGTGCTTTCGAAAAGTAACGAATAAATTCATTATTTTTTAAATTGAGAAGTTTTCGAAAAAATCCCCTGGCACCTCGATTTTGTTTTTAAAAAAGGCACTTTTTGACGTACGACCCATATTTGTGACGTCATCGTTGTTCGAGATATGACGTCATCGATAATTTTTTTAAATAGCAACCCGCAATTTTGGCCATACCATTTGAAAGAGCGTGTCATTCTACATACACATCATGAAAAATTATGGTGTTACATAACAAAAATTTCAAGAAAATAATGTTTGAAGATTTTAAAATTTAATTTTCACAATACTGAAAATGATAATGATTATGTAAAAATCGAGTAAATTAAATGTTCAAATTGTACACCGTTGGCTGCCTGACAGTAGCCAAGNTTCCATAAATGCTTGAAGTTATTTAACTTTTACATGTTATCATTTCATGAAGGTAACTGTACCCCAGAATTTGTACGAAATAAACTGAGTACCTATAATTATCTCTGAACTTATATGTTACAGGCAATAATTAGCGTTAAATAGTTCAATTAATTATAACATCTTAAGTTCCGGTGAAAGATGTGATTCATTTCATTTTTAATTTAATAGAAAAGGGAAGATGCAGGTAAGTACATGGTAGGCAAATTATTTTTTTTTAAATATCACTATTTGTTATTATATGTGAATGGGTATCGCTATGTCTTACACTTTGTGGATTAATGTACAGAACTTTCCAAAGTTAGTCTACATATAATTTTTTAATGGCGTATTATACGAAAAATAAGGAAACAAGTTCCTCCTAAGGGGTTACAGTACCTTAAAGAGGTTGTGGATAAATATTGCCGCAACTGTTTGGTAAGGCGGATATTTCAATTGTTTTAGTAAAAAATCTTATAGATTGCATAGTTTTCAAGAAAAACTGATCTAGATATTTTGTTATACAGTGATTTCGAAAAGTAACGAATAAATTCATTATTTTTTAAATTGAGAAGTTTTCGAAAAAATCCCCTGGCACGTCGATTTTGTTTTTAAAAAAGACACTTTTTGACGTACGACCCATATTTGTGACGACATCGTTGTTCGAGATATGACGTCATCGACAATTTTTTTAAATACAACCCCCAATTTTCACCATGCCATTTGAAAGAGCGTGCCATTCTACATACACATCATGAAAAATTATGGTGTTACATAACAAAAATTTCAAGAAAATAATGTTTGAAGATTTTAAAATTTAATTTTCACAATACTGAAAATGATAATGATTATGTAAAAATCGACTAAATTAAATGTTCAAATTGTGCACCGTTGGCTGCCTGATAGTAGCCAAGACGATTAATAAATTCTTTTTGGACATTATCAATGACTTTAGCAGGTATACGATGTATCTCGTGACAAATTCTTGCTTTTAAATCTTCTAAATTAACAGGTCTAGTAACGTACACTTTGCTTTTTAAGTATCCCCACAAGAAATAATCTAGGGGTGTCAAATCAGGCGATCTGGCTGGTCACTCAATCGGCCCTCTTCTCCCTATCCAACGATTCGGGAACAGCTCATCTAAATAAGCACGGACAGGTGTTACATAATGGGGAGGTGCATCATCTTGTTGAAAGAAAATGTCATTTCTTGGAAGATCATGTAAGTTATTAGTTCAGGAATGAGGTCGTCTCGAAGAACATCCAAATATCTTGCACTAGTTAGGTTGACGTCAAAGAAATAGGGACCCAGAATTCTTCCGTCGACTATGCCGCACCACACATTTACTTTCTGGGGACTTTGAGTGTTATTCATCATCCATCGGGAATTCTCGGTAGCCCAATAACGGCAGTTTTGCCTATTGACATGGCCGTTCAAAACAAACGTAGCCTCGTCAGAAAAAATTACGTTTTTTTACGAAATTATTATCATTATTGCATAGCTCTTGCATTTGCTCGCAGAACTGATTTCGCCGATCAAAGTCGTCTTCAGATAACTCATGAACCAGGCATACCTTATAAGGATGAAACTTTGTTTTTTTTATAATTTTGTGAACTGTGGACGCTGCCATATTGAAATCAGAAGCCAATTAGGTAAGTGTTGAGTGATGATTTTCTTGTATTGCCAACAAAACATTAAGCTCATCATCTACTGATTTTGACGGTCGACCAGATTTAGGAAGATCGCGAACATGTCCAAAGTTACGGTATTTAGACTCAATATTGCTTACCATGCCTTGGCTAATGGGATGTCGATCAGGATGAGTTTCATTGAACAATTCAACTACTTCTTTTTGGGTGCGCATCCTGTCTCCAAATCCGATCATGCAAAGAATTTCAATTCGTTCTCGTTCAGTTAATTTAACCATATTTTTTATAAAATGACAACGTTACTTCTCAATAAACACTTCAAATGCACTGTTTTTGCCAAACAAAAGATAAGAACTAAAGAAATAACTCAAAAAACGAAAAAAGCTATTTAATAAAGTACGATTTCAAGTTTTTATCTGACAGCAATAAAAAACATTCTCGGTCGCTAAGGCTACTGTCAGGCAACCATGATTTTTGACGATGCGTATGTAGAATGACACGCTCTTTCAAATGGCATGGTCAAAATTGGGGGTTGCTATTTAAAAAAATGGTCGATGACGTCATATCTCGAACAACGATGACGTCATATCTCGAACAACGATGACGTCATATCTCGAACAACGATGACGTCACAAATATGGCTCGTATGTCGTATGTCAAAAAGTGCCTTTTTTATATATAAAATACTTTTTTTGCCGAGGCCCCCTCGACGAAACGCACCTCGAATTAACTCCGGTATACAGGGTGTATATTAAGTACTTGTACAAACTTTATAGGNTAGTGTCATGTTTATGTGGGGTATGGTTGGGTAGGGTAGTGCGGCTATGCAGCCTGGGATGCGCTTTGCTAAGGTGGCCCTTAGCCCAGCGCGGCAGGGGAGGGGAAAGGAGGATATGGGAATCTTTGAACTAATTTTGAGATAAAAAGTTCATATGAACATGGGTCTGCAACGGCTTGGTTCTTGAGATACAGAATGAACTCATATGAACTTTTTATATTAAAATTAGTAAAAGATTCATCCTTTAAAGTTTGTACAAGTGCTTAATAAACACCCTGTAGTTTAAAATTCGGGACACCTTATATCAGATGTCCCAAAATTTACCCAAGTTTTGAATTTCGTTCCGTTTGGCGGTAAAGTATTGCCAACGAAAAAAAGAGACAGCTGACAGTACAGGGTTATTAAAAATAAAGCGCTATACGAAAAAACAACGCGTACCTCTTTCGTGAATTTTGGGACGCCCTTTATAATTTATTTAACATCACTACCCATTTTTTTCTTTCAGAAATTCGATTTGCTGGCTTCCTTTGATACTGAAAAGTACCATTTAACCCTCGGTGGGTTCTACCTAGGTACCCACATCAAATATAAACACGTCTACGTCTTAAGCTGCATTTTCAACTTGTTCATATCGTGGTCTCAGTTCCTCTCCATGGCTACATTTTCATATTTCAACTCCTCAAATCTAGAGAAACTCTCAGAAATTCTTTTATTCTGCATGACTCAGTTCGCTTTTCTGAATAAACTGACAAATTTTGTTGCACAGAAAACCAATTTGATGCAGTTGGAGGTGATGTTGCTGAGTTATCTTCTAACAAACGTAACCCAGAAAGAGATCGACGTTCTGGAAAACCACATAAAGGAAGGAAGGCTTCTAGTTAAGATCTACAGGGCGTTGTGCTTTTTGGTGGTTCTGTTCTATGCTCTGTTTCCATTTTTGGACGATCGATCTGGGGAAAGTCACAAATTTCCTTTACCTTGCTGGTTCCCCTTTGATGAAACTAAGTATTACTACCAAGTATTTTTTTTGGAGATTCTAAGTATAGCCGTTGGGACGTGGATCAATTCCAACATCGATTTATTGACTGTCATGATGTGTGTATTAGCGACGGCTGAATTTGAGGTTTTGAGGAATAGATTAGCTACTATTTTACAACCCCTGTCTACATCTGCAAGTGTCGACGGAGATGCAGTGGTAAAGATAAAGTTAAGGGATTGTGTGAGTTACTTTGGTAAGCCAATCTGTTGGATGTTATTCTAAGATTTAAAAATGTGTTTGAAAGTTTGAAACAACTATTTTTTAATTTCATTTTTGTCTGATAAATGAAGCAATTTAGTAGCTATAAAAAAATTTTATTTTGTGCAAAAGAAATACTATTTTAGGGAACAATACACAAAATTTCTGTTGCAGCTTGGTAAATCAAATAGAAGTTACGTTCTCAAAAGGGATTTTTGTGCAGTTTTTCTGCAGTGTCATAGTCATTTGCCTAACAGGGTTTCAGATGATAGTGGTGTGTGTGAAATTAATCAATTTCAACAAATCAGACTTTTATCTCTGTGTCAACCTTTCAGATATCCTTCAGCAGCATGCAGTTCCTTTTACTAATAGTATACTTCTCGTGCATGATGTGTCAGGTAGCCATGTACTGCTGGTACGGACATACCGTCATGGAGAGTGTAATAATATCCTTTTTCTTTGTATTAACATAAATAAGACATCTAGTTGTTTCAGAGTGACAAGATTAGGGACGCTTGCTACTTAGCTGAGTGGAATGGAAGGATTTGACTGTTCAGAAGTCCCTGGTTATGATAATGGAAAGGGCCAAGAGACCTGCGATACTTAGGGCTGGGACTTTCTTTGAATTGAACATACCAACGCTGATGAAGGTAATTTGAATGAGAATTGTGCTGTATTATCTCTATAAGGGCGTTAAATCGTCAGTTAATACGTATAATGGTTTGCTAGCATATGGTGCATTCCCTTGCTAAGTATTATCTTCTTTCGCAGATTTTGAGATAGACTTATTCGTACTTTGCGGTACTACAACGACTTTACCCACTAAACATTTTTCAGTTTCTGACATGTTTCCATTTTTCTCTAAACGTTTCAAAACCAAAACAAACAGGAAACCCTTCTATGACCATATCACTATCGAAGGAACATTGGCGCACCTTCGCGTAAGAGAACCTTGGGATTAACAGTTCTTGTGTACTTTATATAATTTTAATAAATAGTGTTGTAGTTTTACCAATTTTTCTTTTGGACGCGTAGAGTCCGAAAATTAGTGAATTGTTGAAGGTAAGTACAAAATTTTGTTTTTTATTGTTCATAAAGTGTTTAGTAATATATTAGGTTGTTTACTTGATAGTGGATGCAAAAAAAAACACTCATTGTTCAAGAGTTGTTTATTATAAGTTAATTAATATACATCAAAAATACCTTGTCTATGGTTCGTCGTCATTGAATAAACCTTTATCTAAAATATAGTTCAATCTCTAATACTGGAAGGAAAAGGTAAGGTAGTTGGATTTTTGTAATTTTTGATATTTATGGTATGTGTAGTTTGGACCTTGAATAAGAATTTTTTACCTGACAGCTAAATCCACTAGATGTAACACATTCTTCAACTGGGAGCGTGGCCTAATTGGTAGCGTTCGAGACTGACAGTTACGAGATCCCTGGTTCGAGTCCGTAGCGTGACATTTTTTTTTCAAAACGTACCATATGTTTTTTTATTTTTTTCATCTCGAAAATTATGAACAAACGAAATATTATAATAAATACTTATGTATTTGTAGGAATATTCTTCAAATATTTCATAAAAATGCACAACTGGTTGATAAACAATATTTATTATGAATTAACAATAAGATTTCATTAAAAAAAACAAACGAGGTCAGGTAGGATGTTCTTTTATTCTATATTTACGTTAGTATTTGACATTTTACGCAGTGTGGCACGAGCCAGAATGGTAGCTATCATAAAAAAATGGGAAGCAGAAATTTTTTAAGCATCTAGCTTCCTTTCTTTTTCTTTTTCTGACCTCGAAAATTATGAACAAACGAAATATTATGAAAACTGTATGTAGGAATATTCTTCAAGTGTTTAATTAATATTTTGAGCTAGGTTGTGATTCCAAATTCCACAAAGGGTAGAGAAGCATCGAAACTGTGTGATGAAAGAACAATCTTTCAAAATGTTAACGAAATTTGTTTCGATGTCGATATTTTGAAAACAAAACATGTAAAACATACAATACAAAATACAAAACATGTAAAAACATAACATTTACACGACATGCGAGATGCTTAAAAAATTCCTGCTCCCATGTTTCTATGATTTCTATTCTGGCTTATGCCACACTGCGTAAAATGTCAAATACTAAAAATAAAATAAGAAACCTACTTGACCTCGTTTGTTTTTTTTAAAGAAACTTTATTGTTAATTCATAATAAATATCGTTTATCAACCAATTGTGCATTTTAATGAAATATTTGAAGAATGTTCCTACAAATACATAAGTATTTATTATAATATTTCGTTTGTTCATAATTTTCGAGATGACAAAAATAATAAAAAACCATATGGTGCGTTTTGAAAAAAAAAATAAATAAATCTTACGCGACGGACTCAAACCAGGGATCTCGTGTGACTGTCAGTCCCGAACGCTACCAATCAGGCCACGCTTCCAGTTGAAGAATGTGTCACATCTAGTGGATTTAGCTATCAGGTAAAACTTCAAAATCGATTATCTCGGTAATTTATGAAGATTGCTTCGAACTACTTCGAAAAATTCTTATTCAAGGTCCAAACTACACGTACCATAAATATCAAAAATTACAAAAATCCGACTACCTTACCTTCTCCTTTGAGTTAGTATTTCATAAAGAGAATCTAAAAAGGTTCACACAACGGGACGCTGTTTTATTTAAGAAATAAAGTTTTTCTATAATATTATATTAATCACTCCATGTGTTAACCACTGTGCAGGAAACATAAAATATAACAATCTTCCTTATTCACACCACACAACACAAATTTAATTTCAAGGTTAACTGCAATGTTTAAAACGTTGTGACGAACTTTCAGTGTGAGACCCGGATGTCCCACGAAAAGTCGCCCTCCGGGTAGCAGCAGTGGAGAAAAGTGTACACCAGGTATCTTGATTAGAAAAGAAACCACTTCTTCCAAAAACTGTACTCTCATTTATTTAAAGAAAATAAATAAATAGATTCACCACTGACAAATCGGTGATGGTCGGTACTAACATTCGGTGAAACTTCAGAAAATGTAAAGCTAAGCTTCCCTCGATTCGGCGTTCAATTCAGGTTGACGGCTATTCGGGAAAACGGGCGAGTAAGGAACTCCGAGAGGAACGGGGACCAACCCTCGGAGTTTCATGGAAACGGGGTTCCAAGAACAGGCGGGAAAATGGCCGACGCTCTGTTCCCGGACGGAAGGATCAGGAGAGTGCTGAGAACAGGCGGGACAGGCACCAACGCTCTGCTCTCAGACGGAAGGATAGGGAGAGAGAAACCTTGGTAGAACCGTTACCAATACCAAGGGGGGAAGGCGGACTTACTTCGTGTTGAGGAAAATTGCCGATTAACACTACTGAATCAACGGTTCGTCGGATGTTAGTACGCAGACCCACAATAAATACAGAGTTCAACGCTTAAATTACTAACATAGGAAAAGATAATAGTTAATCGGATACTTAACGGATAAATTAATAAAGTTTCGTTACAACGTAAGTCAAATGAAGGTCATCTTCTCATGTAAAATTCCTCCTCTCTCACATACCAAACCAATCTAATTTCAAGGTTAACTGTAATACAAAGGTCAAATGAAAGTCACCAACCTACGCCATCTCCTTCGGCTTTCAGCCTCAAGGTCATCCATATACCATCGTCATCGGCCTTCGGCCTCAAGGTCATCCCAAGGCAGAAAGTGGAGGGGGGAGACTGAAAAACCGCAAAAACATCCTACTGTTAACTTTACCGACAAAAAAATTGTGTAAATATTTCGCTTAAATAAAAATATGGTGAATTATTTAATTACTTCTATTGTTCCATATTTAAAAGAAGCAAAAAGAACTACCGAAATTGATACCTACATTCAAATAATTTCTGCTTTGGGGTTTTATGCAACAGGTGAATATCAACGAAGTATTGGAATGAGCAATTTCGTGCTACAAGTTCAACAAACTACTCATACGGGTATAAAGGATGTTACAGAAGCTAGTTATTAAAACCTCTCCAACAATTGGATACAATTTTCAAGAACAGTTAGAGAAAAAAAAAACACCAATACAGGCTGATTCAAAATTCAGTACAAAGAATTTAAGGGCGTATTTTTGAGGGCAAAATAAGACTTTATTTTTCCTATAAACGTGAGTCCAAAATAAATTTTAAAATGTTTCACTGTAAATAGTTACATAATAAAATTTGAAAATATGGTGTGCATTTAACTCTTTATCAGCCAATATCTCGGAAACGGTTGGTCTAAGAGATTTCGACCAGGTACACCTCTTTTGCTTAAAATTGATAGGGGAATAAACGCACTAATACGAAACGTCAATGTCAGGGTAGCAAAAAACAATTTAATTCAAGCGTACCTTTATAGGTGGCGCACTCTACAAGCAGCGTCGAAAGCAATGATATTTAAATTTATCATCCTAAAAAGACCCCGTACTCCAAGTTTTATGCGTAGACTCAAATATATTGGAAAATTATTCCTAAAAAATCGAAAAAACTTTGAAACTATATCGAAAACTAAGTATTTTCGGACACACGTTTATAGGAAAAAAATTCTTATTTTGACCTCAAAAATACGCCACTAAATTCTTTGTATTGAATTTTGAATCACCCTGTATAAATAAGTATTTTGACACTTCACACTATATTAGGGTAATGTACGTAAAAATAAACAAAACCCAGACACAGCCGCAAACACATATTTGTAATGTTGAAAAGGGACAGCAACAGTCAATACATGTGGTAGAAGAAGAGCAAATCATTTAGGCGAGCCGAGACTTCTCGATATTATATCGATTGGATTGGGCGAATTTTTAATACTGTTTCGATCTCGATTGGAAATCATCGAATCGACATTTCGGGAATCCCTGCACAGGACTATACATCCCTGGGACATACGGACATGCCCCACCGCATACCTAAGATATGTTTGGAACAGATTATCACGAGATTGAGATGGTTTTTAGGGTCATGGCGCCATCTAGCGGCAAATACTGGAAATATGAGGAAACGGGCAATGATTTCTTTATATTACTGGTTGCGTTGATTGACATATGTTGTAGAATGCGTAGTATGAATGAGTAAAGAGATTTAAACTACCATATGACAACTAAGATCAAAAGAGACAGAAATAGTAACTACAAGTAAGATATTCACCAATTTTCAGTCACAAAAAAGCCTATCGTATTGTGTAGAGAGAATATTTCAATCGCCGCGCCATTATTCCATGACTAGAAATTGGCCTCAATGATTTGGGATCGAGGGGGATTATCCCTCTTTATCCTGCCTCATCTCGTGTAGGCCTGGACAGCCTTCGTAGGTGGGCCCCATCCGTCGTCTACCCCGACCGCAAATGCGGCCGGTGTAGGCGCTTTGTGGGACCTCCTTTTGTCCTGGCTGGGCCCCGCCGGCTAGGGCCCTTTCTTCTGGCGCTCTTCTTGCTTCGCCGGCTCGTCTGTGTAAACCCCGGGGGTAGTGTCATGTTTATGTGTGGTATGGTTGGGTAGGGTAGTGCGGCTATGCAGCCTGGGATGCGCTTTGCTAAGGTGGCCCT